TAAGATATTTCTGTCCTGTTTCTCAGTTCAAGCCTGCTAACTACCATTTCACAACAATCACTTTTCAACAAAGTGACATAAGGCTATCTATTACATTTTTCCTTGCCCATTTCAAGGAGCTCAGGGCAGTGGACATTGTTCTTTCCTCTTGTTATCTTCATAAGAATCCTAGAAAGTAAAAACAGGTTGCTTACCTGTACCTGATGATCTTCGAGTGGCCATCTGTGCATTCACACCCATGGGATCTAGTGCGCACGTGCTGGATCGATCGGCATTGTAGCAAGCTCTTTTAACGGATTTTCGCGCTCAGACCTCGGGCATGTGCAGGAACCCCACCACGTATGCCCAGAGGGGAGGGCGCGGACATCCCGCCAGTTCCTTCAAACAGCTGCAAATCAACCCCTATTGAAAATGTAGAAGCTTTCAGCAGCGGGGAAGGAGGGCGGGTGGTGTGCCGGGACATACTGGGCTCCCCCAGTATGAGGGGAGCGGCCGGGACATACTGGGCTCCCCCTTTCCTAAAGAAGCGCAATATAGCATTTGCGCTCTTTTGTGCTGAACATACTGCATTTTGGAAATGTCTAGAGGCCTTTCCGTTAAATGAAAAGGTTAGTCCCAAATATTTGAAATTTTTAACTTGCTCTACCGGCACCCCATCCATTGACCATTTCATTTCTTTGTATTTTTTATGGAAACGCATAATTTTTGTCTTTGAGTAATTTACAATAAATAACTTTTTTTGGCATTGTGCACGAAATTTTTCCAGCGCCCTATTTAAACCTCCTCTAGTACGTGAGAGAAGCACAGTGTCATTTGCATACATTACTGCATGAAGCATATCGGTGCCGACGTGGATTGATGTTGGGAGCTTCCGATACTGTTGACAACGGGGAAGGATACGGAGAAGGCTCTGCATCCATTTGATGACTTAGGAGCTCTACCGTTTCTATGTCGGAGTAAGGACGCTCCATTTGGTGGACAGGGGAGTCCAAGACATGGATGGTCGGTATCGGTGGAGGAACTTGGGCCTCCGGTATCGATACAGTCGTTGGAGCGAGAGGCACTTTAGGGGCATCACCCAGTGCAGCCACCGCTACTTTTCCCTTCTTTGCCGCCTTAAGGGGTTTGGAAGAGCCCTTCTATGCGGACTTTTGCTCCTTGCTTGGCCTATACTTCTTTTTCACCGGCGTGGAAGCGGAGGATTGCGCCTTTGATACCGGAGGCTTCGGTGTCGGTTGGCCGATATTGGAGGCAGGCCTCGATGCTGGAGCCGTTGATGTCGATGGTTTCTCGGCATCCATCGCTGAGGAAGGATGTAGAGCCGATTCTTGCAGGGCCACTTTAAGGCGCGCAGCTCAGTTTTTTCGGGTCTGGTTTGAAAAGCGAGCACAGTGGCGACAGGATTCGGGTCGATGAGACTCTCCGAGAGAAAGTACGCAAAGGGTATGACAGTCAGGAGGAGCAAGTTTACTACCGCAACCCTTGCACCTATTAAAAAAGCCCCACTTCTTCTCCATAAAAACCAAAATGAAGAAGAAAGAAGGGGTGGGGTGGGGTAGCCCGAAGGCCCGACTGAGGTAAAGCGGCAACCTCCCCCTCAGCAGAAAACAAAAGGTTGTTTTAAAAAAGTTTTTTCAAAGGAACTGGCAGGATGTCCGCGCCCTCCCCTCTGGGCATGCGGAGTGGGGTTCCTGCACATGCCCGAGGTCTGAGCGCGAAAATCCGTTAAAAGAGCTTGCTACAATGCCGATCGATCCAGCACGTGCGCACTAGATCCCATGGGTGTGAAGCACAGAGACCACGTCGAAGATCGTCCTATTTGTGGGAGAATAACGAACACAAAATCAACCAGTGAGCTTCATGGCATAATGGTGTCCTAGTACAACATCATACTGGCTTGCTTGCGAAGCTGTGTTTTTGTCCAACCCTTCCACTTGAGTCAGCAGAACCAACAACTGAGCTCTACGTTTTCTTCTTCATTCCCAATGTCCACATTTTCCTTTTCCTTTGTTGTCCCCCCTCCCATCCATTGCATCTTACATCTGCTCTGAATGCTTTCCCCCATGTAAGATTGCTTGGGCAGCTTCAAGATGGCCATCAATCTTTGTGAAATTTATTTCCCAGTATTGTTTTACTTCCTCAGCATCTTCTCTAAGCACAACAATAAGACAGGTTCTTCCCTTGTTGTTTACAGATATACTTCAAGGTTCTGTCAGCAAAATGCCTGAGAACTCATACAAGCATATAAAAGCAAGGAAGATGGCCAGGTCTCTCTAGCCAGCCAACTCCCCCTTGGCCACCAGTCTTCCACAGAGCACAGTCTGGTAGCTGCTGCTGTCAACACTTCATTTAGGCAAAAGCAGAAGGCTAAATTTTCAGTTCTTAGGTGTGTATATATGTGATCCATTAATTTCCAACTATGCAAAATATGAACATCAGTAGGATGCCTGTACATCCCTAAGCACAACTTGGTTTCTATGGTGACAGCATATTCAAATGTGTATACTCCCTTATCCATAATATTTTTACTGCATTCCTGTGGTTCTCTTTTCTAACTTTCCCCCTCGGCTTCATTATTTTTGTAGAAAGCCAGAATCAAGGATTGCCAGAATGGTAAGGAGCCATGTGAACATGCAACTTACAACCTTCTCACCTAGCCCACTTAATATCTGTGTGTGATGTGCTATCAAGCCACCCAACGTATGGTGATCCTGTGAATTAATGACCTCCAAAACGTCCTTGCTCAGGTCTTGCAAACTGAGAGCCCTTGTGGCTTCCTTGATTGAGTCAATCCATCTCATGTCTTCATACTCCCCTGCTGCCCTCAGCTTTTCGTAGCATTATTGTCTTGTCCAGTGAGTCTTGCCTTCTCATGATGTGACCAAAGTACAATAGCCTCAGTTTGGTTATTTTAGCCTCTAGTGAGAGTTCAGGCTTGATTTGATCTAAAGTAAAGGTAAAGGTTCCCATGCTCGAAAGCCAGTCAAATCCGACTCTAAGGTTGCGGTGCTTATCTCCGTTTCAAAGCCAAAGAGCCAGTGCTGTCCGAAGACGTTTCCGTGGTCATGTGGCCAGCATGACTAAACATCAAGGCGCACGGATCTAGAACCTACTTGTCTTTTTGGCAGTCCACGGTATCCGTAAAACTCTCCTCCAACACCCTATTTCAGATGAATCAACTCTTCTTGTCAGCTTTTTTCATTGTTCAGTACTTAATACTTAATCTTGTATTCTCTGCCAAATATACGTATGTACACAATTTCTCTTCTACATGCTGAAATTCACTTGCACACAGTGACATCTGTAAAAGCCAATTAAAATTATCCTCCAATTCTAAAGCTTACAAAGATGATGAGTGAACATCTGTCCTTGAAGGCTGGATGAGACACAGACCTAGTAAGTATGGCCAAAGTATATGTGTGCAGAAGAAATTTATAGGGATAGCTGGAACAGTGCTGGATTTAAGGAGATTTTCCTTTAGGACTCCCCAAGGTCATGGGCCCAGGGCTATACTATGTATCTCCTTAAATCCAGCAACATTGGTTTTTAGAAGTAGAAAACATTACTACAGAGAATCTGTGTGTATTATATACAGTAGTATCTGGAGAAAGCAAGGCAAACATTCCTTCTGCTGCTTCAGAGTACAGAGTTTGTTTTGGCATTCTCTAATGGTGGATCTATGACTCTCCACTGTCAAACTGCCATACCCACATGCCCATAGATCTACCCACAAACATGGATTTCCTTGTTCTGGATTTATGAAATACTCTTCTTTAAAGGAAGGATTTAAAATCTAGAGGAACTTAAGTGTGTTACAATAAAACTTAGAAAAGAACTTTCTGAATGCACAAAGTATTTTCCACCCTAAAGCAATATCAGCTGGATTTTCTTGTTAAGT